AATAGGTTTGTAATATCTTAGAGTTTGATAATTGATTATAATAAAATCTAAAATAGTTTTTTTTTTTTATGAGAAAATGAAATAATTTAACGTATTTTTTTTTTTATACAATTTCATTTGTTATCTCAGCTGATTTTTTTGTTATAATAACTGGTGTCGATTATGTGCCAAAGCAAAGACATACAATTAATGTCAATAACTGTTTCAAGATTCAGTTATTTCAAACTTACTATTAAAATTATAATAGTTACCTTTTTTTAAAAAAAAAAATGGTAAAACAGGTTTTCAATATTTAGGTGATGTCTGTTTTTTTTTGACGTTTTAGACCAAAAAGCCCGACAAAATTTCGACTATTTAGGATAGTTTGATTTTAATTCTGTAAAGATATGAGAGTTTTTTGGAACTTACTGGGTTATGCAGGAAACAGATTTTTAATTGTTAGTTTTTTTTGTGGGAAAAAAATTGGGTTAAATACTGAAAAAAAATTGCAAATTTATTTAATTACAAGAAACTGTAATGTTTAAATAAAAATCGGTTTATCCTATAAAACATAGTAAAATAGTCAACGAATTCTAATGTCATTACAGGATTGAAATTGTAAATTACAAATGACAAATTAGCTGATACATTTATCGACATGGTCAAAATGTATTTAAACCTTTTTTTTTTCTTAAATATATTGCTTATACAAATATTTTATGCCCTACTCTTTAAAACCAACCCCTTTGGAATCCCCTTAAAAGAAGGACTGTTAACATTGTGAGCATAACCAATGCTAACACAACTGTGTCGGGCATAATCAATTACTTTATGATTAAAAAACGAAGTCGATTACAACTATGTAATCATGATTACATAGTTTGATTATTAAAATGATCATTAATCATTTTGTAAAATTAATCAGTAATCGTGATTACAATTGTAATCATGAAAACCCTGAAATCATGGTTTAACCTAACCTCCTTGGGATTTCTCGAAAATAGATTATATATATATATATATATATATGTATATATATATGATAATTTGACTTTTGTAATATCTCTAGAAAAACAATATTTTTTAACTCTGCTTTTTCTTAATATTTCGTTAGCCAACAAGTAGTTTATTTTTTGGAATATAAAAAATCTAAAACCATTACTGTTAATTTTTGAATTTATATAATAAATTGTTATACTTGAAAAAACATTTTAAGTTTTAATAACGTTCATTAAACGACAAAAAAAAGTTTAACTGATACTCAACTCAACAAGGAATATTTTTTTTTGGGGGGGGCTACATTTTAGTCAAGGGGCTAAGCCCCCTAGCCCCTCCCCCTAGTTGCGCCACTGAGTCTAAGGCGGTTAAACAAATATAACCATTAATCATTTCGTGATTAAAATTGAGTGATTAATGTAATCATGATTACAATTATTACATGATACAGTAATCATACCTACGTGATTACTTTTCTGATTATGATTACCTATATTAATCTTACACTATGATTACTGCGATTACAATTATTAATTGACTCACTAAAATCACTATGATTACTGATTACATTTTGCCCAACACTGGCGTGTACTAGGTTCACGTGCGTTTACGTCTTATCTTTGTAGGATTTTTACCATCTCGAAAAACAACAGCTGTTTTCCGTTGCCTCTGTGCGTCTGTGTATTTCAATGTCGTCACTCGTGACTTGTGTCAATTAATAAAATATTCATAAAAAAAAAATAGCAACGATAAACCGTTTTTTTTTTGTTTTAATACAATTACTTATTATACAGTGTGTTTGGAAACACGGGCGTTGGCCCATTTATACAGGGTGCTTAAACAACCGGACAACTCCGGGTCGGTGGCCAGGCTGACGCCGATTAAAAACCCGACGGACAAGGCCAGGCCGACCAGGTCCATGTTTTCGCCAACGAATCCGGCCAGTCTCCGCGGCCAGTCGGACCTGACGTTGACCGGCAACGGCGGCCCGGTCGTCCACACCAGCAGATACCGCGGCACGTACTTGTCGGCGGTCGCGTTGCCGCCGTCGTCCCACCGGGTGGCGTCCGGCACGCGGCACGCGATCACCGTGCGGAGCACGCCGCCCAACAGGCTCTTGCCCCAGCCGTACGATTTCGGCGCGTCGGCCACCGCTGCGGCCAGGCTGTTGGCGACGCGGATTTCGGGCCTGTCGGACAGCACGTCGTGCACGTCGCACAGCCGACACCCGTGGAAACCGAACTGGCCCGCGTCCACCAGCCGACCGCCCAACTGGAACACCGTGCAGTGCGGCGACTCGTCCGGCACGGCCGCGCCGCCCAACGCCGCTTCCAGAAACCGGGACGCCCGGTCGGCGTCCACGGACCGCACGTCCGGCTCCGCCGGGAGGCCGTACAACAGATGCCGGAATATGTCCGGCGAAGGGACGGGCTCCGACCTGAGCAGCATGGCCTTCAACAGCGGGAACGACGGCACGTCCTTGATGGCCACCAGCAGCGAGATGACGTCGCAAGCGTTGTCCGGCGTCAGATAAGCGGCGGGACACAGCGCCGGCCGGTCGTCGAGCTTGCAGTCGTTCGCTTGCGACACGAACTGGTCGAACCGGATTTGCAAGGCGTACGGGTCCTCTTGCAAGGCGCGCTCGACAGCCGCTTTCAATTTTTTATCGTCCACCAGCATGATAACATAAAATCTGCTTGCAGAAACAATTTGGATAACTACATGGTAACAAAATTTCGAAAAAAATATCGCATCGAAGCTAAAAAAAAAAAATAAACAATAATAATGATAAGAACACTCGAGAAATTATCCATTTTATTTTTAGGCCAGTAAATTAATGTATACATCTCGCCGGGAGTATTATAAATCGTATTGGATAATTATTATTATTATCTTCTAGTTGGGCATAAATGTACTTCTTTACAGATTTTTTTTCAGATATAAGTTAGACCTACTTTCGGTCTAATTTTCAGTACTAGAACTGCGCTTGTACAACTCAAAAAAAAAAAACCTAGTAATTTCTCCGCTCCACGGATAAAACATTTAATCACGAATATGTTATCTCTTATCTCTAATCTATTATCACTAATTGTTTATCTACACAGATATTCATGTATAATAAACTAGATTGCTAACTAGTGATAAGAATTGAAGTCAACAGTCACGAACTTAGTACTTTAAATACGAAATATTTTCCTTTGCTAACCCAAAATAAACACTTTGTTCGTAACCATGGTAACCACGGTACTCGAGCGAATGGTAGGCGATGGTTAAAGGCGGTATCGCAGCTACGTCGTCTGTCGTGTGCCTTATATCGCCTTCTGATACCGCTTTCCCATGAAACGCTTTGGCTCCGCTTTCTTGACCGTTGGAATCACGGTATCATTGAGTAACCATGACCTACCGGGTTATTGCTAGAGTTGAGCTGAGCTCAACTTTTGTATCGTGTGGTATAGGTGGTTACAGTATGGTAACCACGGTCAATTGATTTTTTTATCAATTATCAACTTGAACATACTTATTACTATCACTATCTGCATTAAATGCCGGTTTGTCGTTGATGGGCCGTATACGGTATATTTATAAGAAATTATTTTATCAAATTTAAATTTATTTCGCGAGTACTCTATGGCATTCACTGATTAGGTAACCACGATCGATAATTACCAAACTGGTATTAAATAGTTACCATAAGTAACCTAAAGCGGCCACGCCCACTTCTTAAATCGCACGACACGACAGACGACATAGCTGTGATACCGCCTTTATCTATCGTGGTTACCTGTGTTACCCTTAAGGTATCTAACCTAAGGAACAGTCCGATTCTATGTACCACGATTCTGGGCGAGCTTTTAACTGTTGGAACGGGATCTGGAACTGGGACCCTTGGGTAATAAGGGGGACATGATCAATATAATGTAATGTAATATTTAGATCCAAGAAAAAGCCGGGGTATGCTAAAGCTTTAGTACATGCCGCCAACATAGACAATTGAAGTTACTATTTCCCGTCATCGTGAAAAATTCAACTATGGAGTTATTTATCTTCGCCACTGAAAATTATACACTTATTTAATCTAACTATGCTATTATTCGCTATTTTAAAAAAAATGGGAGTTAAACGGTTTGGCATCTGAGCGCCTCGTGTATGGGTCAGAACTCCAAATACGAACAAACGTTTGAAGCGATCCTCTATTTATTTTTTTTTTTAATCACACTGCATGTCTGTTACGATGAAAAAAATTGTTTTCGATTATTTTCTCGTAAAAAATATTTCGAGTTTATTTCTTGCCACAAAAATGTATAAAACCAGTGTATTATGTAAAATAATCTCAACTTTCTGAAAAAAAAGATTTATTTTTTATCAATTAACGGAAAGTCATTAAAATTGAGTATAATCTAAAAAGTTGTTTTTTTCGTGTTGCGCAAAATTTGAAACATTTTCTAATATTCTTTTCGGAAAGCTGAGATAATTCTTCATAAAATTTGTAAATTTCAAATTGAGTTCTCTGAAAGAACGCTCCGAAAATGAAACAAACAGGAGGTGAAATTTCATAGAAAAGTATAACTATATTTAAAATTCGGATCATTTTTTGTTTTTTTTAATTATTTTTACACATAATTATGTTATCTCTTATCACTTATATTTTTTATTTTATTTCATATCACATATATCTAATCTATTATCACTCATATTTTGTTTTTTTATTTCTTATCACGTCTCTCTTATCTCTAATCTTAAGTGTAAAGGGCAAATAGCGACATGACATTTCTTGTATCCAGCCCAATAAAATTAGAACATCCAAACCCCCGCGAGGAGGATTAGGGGTCGTCAAAATTTGGATTTGAAGCAATTTGTAGACAGACACGTGCCTGAAACATCAGAGCTCTATAAAAGTGTAAAAAATATAAGATATAGATTTATAAAATAATTATAATGTACAACAAAAGTTTTCCAAGGTTTTCCCAATTTGGGAGTTAAGGAATTGAACTTAATCTACATACCTGTATATGGTTTTGTCGCAGGTAGCCGATTGAACAAAATGAGTTTGGTGGGAAAAATCAGTAAAAAAGCTGCCAAGCTGGGCAAATTACCGTTAGACGACGACAACGTGTTGATCGAATGCGAGAGCAAAGAAAAGGAATGGGTCAAGAAATGTGTACTGGAGACCTTCCCGTCGGTAGGTACAAGACAAAAACCAAGTTGTTAGTTTTTTTTCAACCCACTATGAATATAATGGCATTTCAACGCAACCTAATAACACTTAAATATAATTTAGCCAATTATAGTTTAACTCGAGTTTATCTAAACATCTTGGATATAATTTTTATTTTAAACTGTTTTTCAACATACATTTTCATTAGAAATTAGAAAGTAACCGTTACAATAAGTTTAAAGACCCTAACCATAACTATAAGTCATAGCAACCAAACTGAGTCTGTTCAGAACAAAGTTCTTCGTCATATAACCTATAAATGTAACATTACAAGACAAGCCTACTCTGGTCATGAGAATACTGTCCAATTATAAAATTTTAAATCGTTAAACGATAGGAGAGATTATTGTTATACCATTATTATTATTAGCAAATGAGACTGACGATTGCTATTCCTTCTTAGTCAAATTAAACTCAATATAAATCCTCACAATAAGAAGACCTTCTTGATATCCCACAATTCCTTTAAGAATCTTTTAACTTACTCTAATGCAATCAGCTAGTAATACATCTTCAAAATTACCGGAGGAAATTGTCAACTTTAAAAATCTTGCTATGGGCATCTTGCCTGCTGTTAAAAATCAAACACCTCTAAACATTTTCCAAACGATACACGAATATTCAATGAATGATATTTATGACTTTTAGTGTTCCATAACGAAGATCAGATCGGTGAACCACAGACAAATGTACGGCATGTACTTGCTGCGCAAAGAGGAACTGGAACTCAACGGTGGCAGAGTGGAGCAACGACTTCTGTACCACGTGACCGGTGTTGCCAACGCAACGGCATCGTTGCAAGAAGGGCTGGACTGGCGCAGGACGAAAAGAGCCAAGTTCGGCCGAGGGGTTTCGTTTAGCGATCACGCCAAGTACGCAGATTGTTACGCCGACAACAGAAACACCGGTGAGAACAGACACAGCATTAGCTTTAGGGCAATAGTGTTGAGCCAATGAGGGAGGAGGGAAGAACAGCAAGAAATGGGGATGATGCTCCACTGATGTGATAGATTTTGATTCTGGTGTCATATGTTTATAGAAATCATCATTTAAACGATTGACCCACAACGTTAGAGAGTGGCAGTCAGAGCCAAGAACATTATAGGTATTTGTCCAGGGCCCGTGTGGATCAGGGGCCTACTTACTAGATTTAATCCTTTTAGTTAAATTTACAATTTATAATAATATGCCCATTTTTTTCTTTTGTCCGGGGCATCAAAAATTCTAAGTCAGGCTCTGGTGGCAGTAAAAAGCCAGATTATTCATACATCATATTATAATCGTTTATTAAATGTTTAACTAATTGACTGCCCCACTTTGAAAACTTCAATTGCCTGCTATGAGATTCCATTTGGAATCAGTGCCGCGAGATCCTTCAATATGGGATCTGACGTTTTAAAATTCTAAAAAGCCATGGAAACTCTTTGTTTAGATGCTATTGATATATTAAGTATGTGAAATATTAGAATCGAAAAACAACAAAATAAATCTTATCGTTTTCTGGAAGTTTATAATTTTTTTTAAATGTCATGGTAGGGAAGTAAAAGTTCGCATGAGATCCCCAAAAGGAGTCTAGCGGCATTAAAGTTTTTAAGCGGCTAAAAGCTAACCTAACCCAGCCCATGATTGAAATATACAAGGTTATTGCACAATGCCCCCCCCCCTCTTTAATATTTGATATGATAAAAACAAATATGTCAACGTAAAAGCTAGCCAATCAAAATCAAACATACAAGTAGTAAGTACACAGTAAATTATAAGGTAAAATATAATTGATATCCCTTACGCTGCCATCTTATTTCTGAAGATTTCAATTAGAGACGGTGTGCATTAACCTGTATATTCAACCATGGCCTAACCCCAGGGATGGTGTAAATTTGTTCAAATGTCGGTTTTATAAGACATATTTAATTATTATTGATATCTGATCACTATACACACGAATAGGAGTCGGCTGTACGTGGCATTGCCAACAATGATGGATAGTTACAATAAAAACATTCCTTCGCTTCATTAGTTTAAAATTTAATATCGAAAGGCCTCCTCATTCTGCTGGAGAACACAACTTATTAAGCTTTTTAAATGTTGAATCTCTTTCGGTTAGAAGAATCGATTCCTATGGAATTTTTTTGGAAAAATAAAATAGACCATCTTACTTATCAAGTCTTGTTAACTATCATAGTTTTATAGATAGCAGCTTATTTTATTTTCCTAATACTTCCCGTAAGTTAACGTTATTTAATTGGTATTTCTGTAGTTAATTTGTTCGTGTTCTTTTTTTTATGCCTTTAATTATTATTATTGTTCGTATACAACGTAAAATATACGTGTGTGTTGTTATTTTGGCAGCTAGATAATTAAATGCCTAAACATTGAATCATGGACATGTTACCTCTTATCACTTGTCACTTATCTCTTATCACTCATACCTCAATGTTTTTAAATGTTTCGAATGAACTTACGCGCGAAAATGGCGACACGAAAGGTCTTGTAACCAACCCGATGATATCCGTGTTAAAATAGTCTCTGGTCGGGGACGAGATTATTCACAATGTTTTCTTTTTTCTTTGTTTTGCTTGTCTCCAGGAGGCCGTGTGATCATCGTGTGTTCCGTGCTGATATCAAAAGTAAAGACGCTGGACCACGGGTCTCGCATGGTCGTTCACGACGTGCACCACGCCGGCGACGGGTACGACACGACAATGAGCTCCACACAACGGGTGTACGTCAAGTACGACGATTTCGAGTTCTACCCCATGTACATGGTGCACTACGACCATATCGTGCGCATCCGGTTGACCAACAACGTCGGCCAGTTCAGAGGGTACGTGCGGCCAATTTCGGCCACAGAGTTCCGCGAAGAAAACGACGGCGTTACCACAACCGCGGTTAGGGTCAGCAACGGCGACGGCGGTACGACAACCGGTGGGAATACAGGGCGGTCGCGTAGCACATCACACGTGGACATGCCGAATTCCTGGGGATCGATGGACGACGAAATATATGACTACCTCGAACAAATGTGTTCTAAATATTTTTAGTTTATAATATAATATTAATTGTGTTGATACCATTAAAAAACATAAACATTTAGCTGTATGTTAAACATAACATTGCAGTCGCGCTAATAATAGCTGAGTCTAGTTTTAAAATACTAATCTCGCTTTGATTTTTTTACTACGCTTTGTTATTTTTGATAATTGAACATTATTATTATTTTTTTTTTTTTTAAACAGCAATTATTGAAAACGGCACACATAGTACCTATGTATACGTATGTCTACCTATTTTTAACGGATATATTGTATTTTATTATTATTATATTTTTACTTTTCTACGACCACACTGATATTCCTTCACACTTCTACATATTGTGTATTATCTTATAATAATTATAACTATAATTGAATGGACGACACGGTATTACCTTACGGTCAGCTATTTTTGGTTTGTTCATAAATCAAAAGGCATAATCGGGGGGGCTATTGAAAACTGTCTTTTGTTTTATACATAGGCATTCGTACAAGTACAAGAAGTCAAGATAATTATGTTTGTATGGGAGGGGGGGAGGTTCACCTAAATGTACGTCTATAAGAGTATAAAATATAAAAACATCATAGTATGGTATGCCTAATATGCCGGATAGTGTTAATCTGAGTCTGTGTATACATTTATTTATTTTTTTACCTGGGTAATTAACTAGTTTAGGTATTAGAAATTATTTTGGCCAGGTAACCATTTCCCATGTAGAGAGCACTGTCAGTGCTAGGTATAGTACTGTACTGACCTATACACGCTTGTGTATAGCCCAAGTGACTATAGTCTATAGTGATAATTTATAATAATAGATAATTATTATCAATGAGCCAAACGCATACGACAACAACACCAAATGCGCCATTATGGCTTTCATTACATTATATTATGTTTACAACAACAAATATAAGTAAGACATTAAATCGTGAATCACATAAAAAAACATCAAACGTTCTTACGGGGGGTGATGATAAGTAATTAAAAAAAAAAAAAATATGAATTCTTCAGCTTTACATTATATTGTAACCAGACTTTATCGCTATTTTATTCGTTGTATATATATGTGTATGTGTGTGTGTGTGTGTGTGTGTGTGTGTGTGTGTGTGTGTATTATTATTTATTTAAAAATTGAACGCGCCAGTCATTTTTAACACGCTTATTTCAGTTCGGCTTTAAATTTAAGAACCATCTAATTTACGCGCAATTTTTAATAGTATTTTGTAGATTCCACACTGAGCAGACTAAGCAAGTCCCGACTGTATACCTGAAAGGTCAAACAAAATTTACCTCTTTCTTCAGAGCAAATGTTTCTCGATTGTGTAAGTATTTTTTTATTTTATTCCAATAAAGGTACCCCCAATTACATTTGGAAATAATATTTTGACAAATTAACGTTTACTAGAATATAATATAAAGTTAACTAATGTCCAAAACTTATGCTGACTCAGATGGACTTTGATTTTTCTCTCATCTCTCTCTAGTCAATATAACTGTAAAAAAAAATACTTATACAAAACACAGCGAATATGACGCATATTCGCAAAACTACATTCAGGATCTATCGAGTATATAGAACTAAGGTAATTAAAAATTTTTAAAAATATTCTATAATTTTCAATCTATTGTTAAGTCTACATAAGTTATTATTTTTTACTTGCTATCAGAGTTGCGTGCAAATTATTTAAATAAAACGTTATTCAAATAATTATGTCAAGATTTATTTACTAAAAAAAAAAAAAAAAAATATTCTAAACCATTTTTTAAAAATAATTATACTATTCTAGCATAATTTAATAGTCATTGTTTTTTTTTTATATTTTAAAAAAAAAATGTTTTTAAGAAAATTTAGTTGAAAACCTGCACTCGAAATTTATTCGAATATAATATGTTTGAAAGTTATCCGAATCATTTGTACTATCTAGACGATTGTTTAGATAACTTTTTATTAGAACAACAATGCACAGCTCTGCTTGTTTTTTAGTATTTTAATGTAATGTTTTATTTTCACTACAAAAAAAGTAAATTGTTTACTAGACATTTGAATTTCTAAATTTTTGTTAATTGTTAACCTATTGAAAAATATTTCAATCCAATTAAGGAACAAAGGAAGTTGTTTAGTAGATTATCATTTGCATCTAGGTATAAATGTTGTAAAAAAATATATACATTTAACAATTTTTGTTTTTAATTAAAAAAAAAAAAAATTGTAATTCCCCTCTCATTGAGTTTGGAAAACAGTATCGTAGTTTTAATGAATCTTATCAAAATAAAAAATAAAAAAAACATGAATGGGTCGAGTACAGTACTTTTTGAGATGCCATATGATTCTGCTACTCGTGGAAAATAAAAATAAATAAAATTTGATTATTAAATTAAGAACTTGGCTTAGGTTTATTATTAAGATTATTTATTGTCGTGTATTATTATTATTATATTGATTAATGTATGATACTTGGGTGTTACTGTCGGAGCTGCCTAATTGTATATTGACAAGATAATGTTGAAAAACCAACATCGAAGCTAAAAAAAGGTAATATTTTGAGAAGTGCTAATATTTGATAACGTAGATACTTTATAAAATGTCTTTTATTTTAGAACTATTTCAACAATATTATGCAACTTCATACACATCCTATTGGGCTATTCTCTAAAGTATGCAAAAACAGCTAAATACGATTATATAGATTTGTATATAATAATAATATGGAGTCGACAACATCATTTTTCAATCATTATAATAATCAGTTTCAGTAAAAATAAGGATGTAAACATTTAAATCTGGCTTTGAATTTTCAACAACTAAATTATGAAAACTAACTAAAACATAATGTCAGTTGTAATTAAATGTAATAAAAAAACAAATTGTACGGTGTATCATTATTAAGAAGATAATGTCAGTACAACTACACAGGCGGCGTAGACCGTAGTGGCTCGATACGGGGTGTTGCCTGTTTACCTACAACATTATTGATTTTCTTCCAACAACAACAATATTACATACAACCTTAATTTTAAATACACAAATTCCATACGAGTATTCGG